AGCTGTGTATTATGAAAAACTTTTTTGTTCCCAAAAATCAAAGTTTTGTATGTATATTACAATTAAAGACAAACATTTTCTCCAATTTTAAGCAAATTTGAATCATTTTGAGTCGAGTTATAGCCAAATTCCTGAACCATACCCTTTATGCTCGAGTAAGCACATCGTAAGAGCAAGTTTTGAATTCAGTTCTATTTTACATACACCCTTCAAAGTTTTAAAAGTGATCGTGCACTTGACAGCCGAGCTCCATACTCTTAAAAATGTATATTTTATTGACCGGTACTAAACATTGGTGTGAAGTTCCGAAGCGTCTATCTATGTACTCTTTGGGGGTGATTTCAAACTTCACCACACAGAAGATGAATTCATCAATGCAGATTTATGTGAATTGGAAAATTTGCGTTCAAGGTGGCCATTCAAAGTGGTATCCGGAAAAGTGTGAATACATTGAATTTTCTTTAACAAGAGAATCTGCCGACTCTCAATATTGATCTAAAATAAATCACCTGAATTTGAAACGGTAGGACTGATGAGTCGTTCAAACTTGAATAATGCGATTGAAAGTTAAAAGTAACAGTAACCGAAATGTTGAAATTGATGTTGTTGGTGTCAAAGAGAAGATATCATAGAACAAAAAAAGGTTGGTATGCAACTTTTGAAGACGTTGATCATTATCGTAACATTGACCGGTCAGATTCAGACTGTGACCGATCAAAAACGTGGCTGGTTGGTTTTCATATCGTCAGTGTTTCTTTCTTTGAATTTTATCTCATTATATTTTGTTCGGTCCAAAAATGTTGAATCTATTTTTTTCCAATTTCCAAATCTCTGAAAATTGCTGACTTGTGGTCTAGGCTTAGCTTGATATTTCGATTCAAAATAATCCAATTACGAATAACACAACCTGCCAATTTCCACACCTATACCTATAATCACTTTTCTTGTTTTCCGTCGTAGCCCAAGCCAAGAATGATGTGTTAGCTCTCACACTCAATGTACCTAGAGCACCCGGTGTTTCTGAAAGACATTCTTCACACTATCACCTATTTCGCAATCCCCATTCATATCTTTGGTACCTATTGTATCCTATTCAAAACTCCCAAAACTATGGGGTCCGTAAAATGGATCATGTTGAATTTCCATGTTTGGTGTATGTGCCTGGATTATGGTTTAACAGTTCTTACTGTACCTATCGTTATATTTCCTGCTTTAGGAGGTTATCCATTCGGTATTCTCACTGAGTGGGGTGTATCAGCGGAATTTCAAACTTATTTGATAGTAACACTAATTCCAGGTTGTTTCAACTAATCAAAACTAAAATTTTAAAAAAATAACATTTCAGTAGTCTCTGCTGCAGTTATCACAATATTCGAAAATCGGTATTTTCTGGTTTTCGGCCATAATTCGAAATGGCGTAGATTTCGAGTTTTACTTTCAATTTTCAACTACTTGTACGCAGCTACATGGTGTCTACCATCTTTTATGATTATTCCAGAACAAAATATGGCTAGAAAAGTGGCACTAGAAGTGAGTGAGGTTTAAGCTCAATTATCTCGGTTCGTCAAAATTATGTCAACTAATAATATTAGAGCAATTACGGTAGAATAAATAAAACTGTCAATATTTGTATAAATAGGTTAGGATATAAATCATATATGTATACTACTGCGAATAATATATCTTATCTATTTTGTTCATCGCTACCTTTTCTCCAACGATCAGGGGGCAAAAGGTGCAGATTCTGATGAAATGAGAACCAGTCTACTTTAGAAAAACTATGCAGTATATGTCCACTTTGAGCTCAATTATCTGGGTGCTTATGAGAGATTTCAAAGTTTTGTCAACTGATAAAATATTGATAATATTATTATAATCATTCTATTAGTTGACAATTTTTTGATATCTCGCATAGTAACCGAGATAATTGACTACTAGTGCGCTTACGGTAATGTTTAATCCCAAAATCCATACATTCAGATGCTTGGACCAAACGTCTCTGACTACATTCGTCATTTCCCAATATTCATGATGTCTCTAGAGATAACATATCTCACATTACCATGTCTTCTAATAGTTTTGACCTTCGCCACAGAAGTCATCCTTTTTGTGGCAATTATTAAGAAAGGAATGACAGAATTGGCGAAAACTGCAAGGTTTTCCAAGAACACTTTGAAAATGCAGAAGAACTTTTTGAAAGCTGTGTACATACAGGTACTGTTAATATGAGCTCAAAGCCTCCTCCGCGCCAAACAACTGGCTCGTGCGCCTTTGGCGCGAAATCGAGAACGTCTCCAGAAGGCTTCAAAAGCAAAATTTCAAAAAAGCGAAAAGTTGGGGCATCATCTCGCCGCTATTTTGGATTATCTGCCAAATTTGAGAAATTTTGGTCTACTGGTGCCTTCGCTAGGGCCGGTGACACGGAACAAGTTTGGTGATTGTTAATAGTAAAGATTGCAGGTGTCCATGTACATGACGAGTATTCAATTGCCGCTGGCTTATTTCTTTGTGTCCATATTTTTCAAAATATATAACCAATCTGCGAATAACTTTTGTTTTGTCGTATTCTCGCTTAATGGACTTTCTTCGACAATTTTGATGCTATGGGTTCATACACCGTATCGAGATTTTTGTTATAAACTTTTGAGAATCGAGAAATGGAGAAAGAAAATAGGACAAGCTAATTCTCAAGATAATGTTGTGTCCGTTGCTCCAACTGCTGCTCCCAAATGAAACTTTTCTTCGAAATTGAGATATGTTTAGTCTAGTCTGATTTTGTTTCTGACCAATGTGATATTTCGATCAAGTCCCCCCAACCAATTACGAGTTGTAACCCTCAATCATTTCGGTTTTCCTCTTCTCTAGATAAACATTTTTTCGGCATAAACGTGCTATTAGTTTTTCTCTGTCTCCCCAATGCACCCAGAACATCCCGAGTTTCTTGTGGATGCTTTACATTTTATCACTATCATAGCAATTCCTATCCATATCTTTGGCACCTATTGTATCTTGTTCAAAACTCCCAAGACCATGGGATCTGTGAAATGGATCATGTTCAATTTCCACTTTTGGTGTATGTTTCTGGATTATGGAGTCACCATTTTGGCGGTTCCATTTATGATATTTCCAGCGTTGGCTGGTTTTCCGTTAGGCATTTTGAGAGAGATCAACTGTCCAATGGAAGTTCAAGCGTATCTTATTTTGACTCTTTTGGCAGGTAATTCAGCTCTATAGAAGCTCCTGTGTATCTGCATTTTGAGCTCAATCATCTCGTTTCCTATAAGAGATACAAAATATATGTCAACTGATAAAGTGTTTATCATAATAACACCAATATTTTATCATTCAACAGATTTTTGATATCTCTTGTAGAAACCAGGATAATTGAGCTCAAAGTGCACGACTAATAAATTTTCAGTTGTCTCCGCTGCGATTATCACAATTTTTGAAAATCGCTACTACATAGTTTTTGCTCAAGATTCGAACTGGCGCAGTTATCGAATTTTCCTTTCAATTTTGAATTACACCGCCTCTTTCACATGGTGTCTACCATCTTTTCTCACGGTTCCAGAGCAAACAATGGCTAGAAAAATAGCGATTGGAGTAAGTACAACCTGTAATAGAAGGGTCTCCTAACTTTGAGTCGATTTATCTCACTTCCTGTGAAAGATATGATAAATTTGTCAACTGATAAGTTGAAGATCATAATATCACAAACTTTTTATCCGTTGATACATTTCTGATATCTTGCATAGAAACCGAGAAAAATTAGCTCAAACTTGAAGGTGTTGGAGCCTTTCTATTACAGGTTTTACAGTAATTCTAATATTCCCTACAGATGCTTGGGCCAAATGTCCCTGACTATATTCAAAATGCTCCTTTATATGTGATCTCTCTGGAAATGAAATATATCACGCTTCCTTGTTTTCTGGTAGTTCTGCTTATAGTTCCACAGGCTTTCGTTTTTGTAGCACTTATGAAACAAGGGTTGAAGAAATTAAAGGAAACTGCAAGGTTCTCAGAAAGCACTCTGAAAATGCAACGCAATTTTATACACGCAGTTTATGTTCAGGTAAATTAACATAATTCCCCGAATAGAAGACCACCCAAATCGTCTAACTTCGATTTCAATTATCTTGGTTCCTGTGAGAGATATTAAAAAAACTTTCAACTGATAAAATCTTTGTCATAAAATCAACAATATTTTTCAGTTTACAGAGTTTTGACATCTCTAATAAGAAACGAGATGAATGAATTTATGGGGGCCCTTCTATTACAGGTTCTACGATAGCTGTTTGATCTCTATGCTAACGTTTTAGGTCTCCACATATATGACAATTATCCAGCTTCCTATAATATATTATTTGACATCAGTCGTTGTTAAATATCATAACCAAGCGGCAAACAACATTGGCTTCATCATATTCTCTTTCAACGGTGTGTGTTCTACTATTGTTATGATCCTGATACACAAGCCGTATAGAGATTTTTGTTTGAAGATTTTGAGAATGGATAGGAACAATACGATTACTGTCCCAGCAACCTCCTATGATACTGCTGTTTCTGTAGCTCCCGTTGCCTAGTTTTGAAGTTACTAATAAATTTTTTATTATTATCATAAGTTCGGGTTTAATTATTATGTATTTCCTACGACTGCTAAACATGTCTTAACTCATACATTGATCGTTTCTGTTTTGCTCCATCCCTCATATTTGCTCTCAAATCCCCCGTTGATAAACGACGTCCGCCACGACGGAACAACGAATCGGAAGCGAGTTGGTCGGCGCTATGAGTCATGGACCGAATGTTTGCTTGGGATCCCTAGAAACTAATTAAAGTCAATAATTAGGTCAGTACTTAGCCTACAAATTGAGCCATGTAGTCGTCCTGAATATCGTCCTCGGTTGGTTTTTCAACCCGTTCCGCTTGCTTTTTGAGTTCACCGAGTTTCTTGTCAAGTAGGTCACTGAACAGCATGTAGAGTTGGTCAATGTTTTCTCCAGATGCCATGACCTGAAAGTGGAAATTTAACAATATATAACAAATGTGAAACCTGTAATAGAAGAGCCTCTAACTTTAAGTTTTGACCCAATTTATCGTAAACATTCAAATAGAAGGCCACTCTAGGTTTGAACTTAATTATTTCGGTTCCTATTCGAGATATTAAAAATCCGTCAACTGATAAAATATTGATAATTTTATGATAAATATTTTATTAGTTGACAGATTTTTGATATCTCCCACAGGTATCGAGATAACGGAGCTCTAAATGCACTACAGGGTGGGCTTCAAAAAGAGCATTGCGGTACTTGCACTCTGGGCTCAATTATCTCGATTCCTGTGAGAGATATCAAAAATTTGTCAACTGATAAAATGTTTGTCGTACTACAAACAACCTTTGACCAGTTCACAAAATTTTTGATATCAGCAATAAAAATTGAGATAATTGAGCTCAAATGCAACTATCTCAATCTTACCCTCGCCAACTGGATATCCTTGGGAGTCACTGTTTGTTGCTCGGGCGCTATCTGATGCATGCTCTTCACCTTCTCGAGTCTCTGATTCTGTAGAGTATTTTTAGCCTTGCTCAACTTTATGGCATCTTCCAGAGTAATCTTTTCATATGCTCTGATGATTGAAGTAGCATCAAAACTTTGCCTAGTTTCATGTCTCATTAGAACCGGCTTGATAACTTTTGCATTGAATCTCTCGAAGCTGAAAATCATTATTCGTATTTTTAGACCTAGAAACCTTCTACTCACTTCTCAATAAAACTGTAATGCCCTCTCTGCCCAGCAATATCCTCTACCCCTGACATCATGTAATCCAAGTACTTGTTATAAACACTTTCCACCATTGTGGCATCTCGATGTTCCTTTCGTTTAACTTTCAAACAGTTGACAAGTGGTCTAATTGTGATTCCTTGAAGGAAGACTGTGAAGTAAATCACTGCAATTGTAGTTGTGATGAACATTGGTTTAGCAGCAATAGACGATGGGATTGAGACTGCTAGACCATAAGCAATTGCTCCGCGGAGCCCTCCATAAGACAAAATGAATTGATCGACGAGTTCAAACTTTTTTGCTCGGAATTTGTTTAAAATGTAGCATTGGACAACTACTCCGACTGCTCTGTAGATTAGACAGAAGACTAGTGTAGCAGCGATAAACATGACATCCACATGATGTTCGGAAGAGATAGTGGAGAGACCCAGGAACATGAAGATGACAGTTTCAGAGCATTGAGACAACATTTTGGTGAAGTACTTTACTGAATTGGTGGCTGCTTCCGTGATGTTTCCTTTGATATATTGTTTCATAAGCATTCCGCATACCGCGATTCTGGAAAATGTATATAGTTTGAAAAGTTGCCATAAAACCTGTTATAGAAGGTCGTTTTAACTTCAAGCCATTTTATCTCGGCTCCTGTTAAAAATATAAAAATGTTCTCAACTGATAAATCGTTTATGATAACATTTCATCAGTTGACACATTTTTGATATCTCTTTCAGAAGCCGAGATAAATAAACCCAAACATTATAATGGGGGGGGGGGGGGGCTTCTATTAGGGGTTTTATGGTTTATTCTGTGAAATCTTACGCAATGATTGATGAAAGTGACACCATTTCAGCAGTCAGGTAGGCCATGTAGGGTAGGAGAAAAATGAAAACTGGTGCTAGAATTTTGATTTCTTGGGTGTACCTGAAACTTTTATTTTTTGCTTCTCTTAACTTTTTTGCCTTTCTGAATTACAACAAACACTCTAATAGAATGACCCCTTAACTACCAACTTTGAGCCAAGATATATCGGTTCTTGTTAAAGCTATCAAAAAGTCCTCAACTGATAAATTGTTCATCATATTATCAGCAACATTTTATCAGTTGACAAATTTTTTATATACCTCTTAGGAGCCGAGCTAATTGAGCTCAGAATGCAAGCACCGTAAAACTTAAAGTTGACGGTTTGGGGACTTTCTATCAGAGACTGTAAGGTAGACTAACTTTGTCGCCAAACTTGTCACTATCGCAAAGATTATTCCAATAGCTGCTCCTCCCATCGCCACCACGAAAAATGAAAGACCTCCTGTCGCATAATCCCAAGGGGATAGATTATCACTTCCAATCAGTGCAAAACTTTTGAACATCTGGTATAGAACCTGCAATTTATAGGTTAGCAATCTCGACCCGTTTTGATTTCAACTAAGGCTTCTATTCGGCATTACAAATTTCCGACCTACAATCGACCGAGCTGACCGATCGGTGGGCTCTCGGTGGGCGGCCCGCGATCATCGACCGACCGACATGGAAGCCTATGTTTGACCTACCACAGTGACCCCATCATTGAAAAGTGCCTCTCCAAAGACATTAATAAATAGAAATTCGTTGACATGAATCTCCTCAAACACTGCAATCACTGCAACTGGATCAACAGCAGAGATGAGTGCAGAGAACACCAGAATTTCAAATGTGGTGAATTTCATCGTAAACAAATCATATTGAGACATAATGAGAAGTGAGCCACCAATAGCAAATGTGTTCCAAAGTGTACCAATCACCGAAAAAACCAGCACAGAATCAAAATTCTTGAATAAAGCTCGATTTGGCATGAAGTAACCTGTAGCTTGTGACATGCATAATAGCTGGTAGTTTTCAAATTTCTTACCCGCATCAAAAATAATAGGAGGAAGGAGATATAAGAAGAAAGCGTGAGAATCAAGTCTGGCTCCGGATAGTGTGGTTTGACGGAGCACATATCCAAGAGCAAGTCCCACTATGATAAGAAGAGAAGAGTCCGGGAGCCATTTAGATAGAGGTTTAATCAAGTTGAATACTGAAAAAAATGTGTAATTGTCGTTGTGGGCGTACTTTCTTCGCGGGCTTTGCCATAGTTTCTTTTAGAACTAAACATTTTTTACTATCTAAGCTAGATATGATACAGCTCGACGAGTCCTACGAAATCATACAAGGTGGAATACTGTATCTTGCCTATGAACAAAGTTACAAGACCTTGAAGATGTGACCGCGTAGCTCAGTCGGTTTTTGGCTTGTAACTTTGTTCGTAGGCTAGATACAGTAATCCAAACAGTATCACGTTGTAGTGCTCATCGAGTTCTATCATAACCGATTTAGTTGATCCAACTAGAACTTTTACTTTGTTTTCAAAACTCACTAATTTTTGCCAACGATGCGACCAGAAGCCAAGTGGTGATAACATACACCTGATGGACATCCTCCCAATTCCAATTGAACAACTGAAAATAATAGAAATAGTTAAAGCTTACATCTAGCTAAAAAGTAGTTCAACCTCTGCCAATCCATAATCATGAACTTGTTCCATTCGATAGAAATTTTGCGAGAAATTCTACACCTCCCAAAACATTCTTCCTCAAAGAGATGGGAGGTCCCAATCTTTGATTGTTTGACGTTCAAAACTGGGAGAAGAAGAAGCTATTCTATGACGTTGTTTCGGAACATCATTGCAGTTTATTTGTCGCTATGATATCACTAATTTGGGTTCAAACTGTTAAAAGACGAGGGGAGGAGGAGGAGGGAGAAGCCGGATTTTGCTTTATCACTGATAAATGATTGTCGGATAAAATGCAAAAAGCTATATAGCTGGAGAGGACGGAGAAGAACGGGAATATAATTATTTCTGAACGTATAATTGTTTGTTTCATCTCAGAATAAAACATAAATAGGAGGGGACCGCTAATATACCGTAAAACCTGTAATAGAAGGGCCCCACACTGTCAAGTTTGAGCTAACAATACTTTTTAATAATAATTTTTTACCTTGAAACTTTTCAACTCCTTTTCTTTTTCCGCCTTGTCTGCAGTGGCATAGCATATGAGTAGAAATACAAGAAGTTTGGAAGACATCTGAAATTGTTAATTTTTTGGGAGTCTAAAAAAGTTAGTGGAACGAAAAGGGGCATTTTTCCAAAAAGGTAATACAAAATGTCTCAAATAAGTTTTCCAAACATAAAATATTTTCATAATATAAAATTTTGATTTTTGGGGAAATAATTGTTGTAGTAAGCTTACCTGGCGTACCGTATTTCCTCAAACAGAAGTCCACTCAAAGCTCAGCCTTGAGCTCAATTATCTAGATTCCTATCAAAGATATCAAAACTTTGACAACTAATAAATTTTTTATCATAATATCAACAACATTTTATCAGTTTACACATTTTTTATATCTTGTAAACGATCCGAGATAATTCGGCTCAAAGTTAGAAGTTAGGGGGCCCTTTTTTAACTGGTTTTACGGTACTTGCACTTTGACCTCAATTATCTCGGATTCTATGAGAGATATCATAAATCTGTCAAGAGATAAAATTTTATCATAATATCACCAACATTTTATCAGTTGACTTATTTTTGATATCTTTCACAGAAACTGAGATAATTGAGCTCAAAGTGCAAGTATGGAGTGGTCTTCTATTAGATCATTTTCGGTGAATATGTACGAAAATAAAAATTTTCTAGAATCCCATTAAAATTGATGTTCTGAAAATCTACGATTAATCTAATTAGACATCCAACGAACTAGAAGAAACAGTTGCCGTTTGACTTCTGGCTTTTTACAAACTGATATATTTTCATAAAATAATCATATCCTATGGAATAGATCACAAAACAAAATAGTTGATCTTATCTTCCGACCGATACTTTTTATAAAACAGTATCTCTCTCGCCAAAAGTCATCGATAAAGTCAAAGGGTAAATTGTAAAAGAACAACACTGATCACTTATTTTTCTCCATCTGTCTCGTCTGTTGTAATAAAAAAGTCAATGTGATACTATATCTTTTTCTTCTTTTTTGTTCACAAGGTCACAAGAAAAAAAATTAAGAGTTGAGTTGGTCAGCAATAGAGGGAATTTTAAAATTTCAGAGTTCATCAAGAGTCTCAAAAAGTAGAAAATCTCGAAAAAGTAGAGCGTCAGCGAATTGACCACAATCGAAAAAATCCAGTTGGCTTCCTTTCACTTTCCATTGTCCGTGTTAAATAACAATCGATGATATTTGATATGGCAATGGACAATTGGCGGCAAGTATTTTGAAAAAAAGAAGAAACATCATAATAGGTTTCTTATTCATAGCACATAAAACCTTTTTTTGTTCAGTTTGACATAGACACTTTTGTGAAAAACAGTTTTTAGACATCTTTTTTTTTGAATAAAATCGTGCCTCCAACCGATAAGGTCACCAAGAAGATTCTTCACACACAAGTTATCTCAATCCGCTGTTAAAGATAGAAAAAAGTTGTCAACCGATAAATTGTTTATTATAATATCGCAAATATGTTACAGAAGACACATCTTTGATATCTCTGCTAAGAGCCGAGATAATTGAGCTCAAACTTGACATTATAGTGGCCCTTCTATTACAGGTTTTATTGGCAATCAACTTTATTTTTTCTGTTTTCAATAAGATTGATTTATTGAAATCAAAAACACAACGCAATTTTGAATCTTTTTCTACACGGCATCGCGAAAGAGTCCTAAAGAAAGTGCGCTCCGTTGCACATGGGGTTTTTTCCGGAACTTATTTTAAAATATATGTTTTCCCTCGCTTTTTCCGATGGAATGAAGGCACACAACCGTAATACTAACTTTGAAGCTTGTTAGCGTTTAAGCGCACCCAGCTGTCAACCGCAACGCCGACACGCAACGCGTTCGAAATTGTTCGGTGCCAAATTTTAAATCGAGGTCCTTTTCCAAGATGTAATTTTTCACTAGAAAAATGGGTCAAAGTTGATATCTATGTGTCCAATCTGATTTAAGCTTTACAATTCAATTTTTTTTTCTTTTCTCGTTTTGGCAACACCGATAAACAAAAAAAAACAAGAACATTTTATTAAATAAATATGTACAAAATATATACAACACATAATCGCACTAATCCGAGAACTCCTCCTTATCAAAAAGATACTCTCCGAGTCCAGGACCAGCTCTCTTGAGTCTGGCAATATATCCAGCAAACTCGTTGATGGAATGAACCTGAAATAAAAATAAAATTCCTTTAATTGCTAAAAAAACCGACCTGCTCTTCCAAATATTTCCCTTGAATGTAGTTAGTCAAATGCGCATCGTTACGTTGCTCAGCAACTCCGTGTAGTTTCAGAAGTGATGTGTTGTTCATTCTCTCAAGAGCCAATGCAGCTTCGAAAGCTTCGAGTACAGTACCCCATTCATCTTTTTCTGGCTTCTGAACGTCGTTAAAAACGACACGCCCACCACGAACATTCTGGATTCTCATGAGCTCCGTGGCGTGTCCACGCTCCTCTTCTGATTGCTCTTTGAAGAATTTGGCGACTTTTGGAAGTGCCACGTCATCACGGTCAAAGTAAGCCGACATAGAAAGGTAGACATATGAGGCGTATAGCTCAACATTGATCTGAAAATTATTATATTTCAGATTACCCTAGAACCTGTAATAGAAGAGCCCGCTAACTTTGGACTTCGAGCTAATATTTCACATCAATGATCTTTTACAGAAATTGAGATAATTGAGCTTAAACTTGATTATGTGGGGCCCTTTCAATACAGGTTTTACGGTAGTTCCAATTTGGCAGTAGTGAAATCATCATCACCATCATACCTGCGTCTCTCATGTTTCCCATTATCTCTAACTAACCTGTTTATTGACGGCAGCCTCGACCTCATCATGATAGTTTTGACGAGCCAACGACATGATCGTTTTTGGAAAATAACAATAACTGTTTTATCACCACTGGACCGTCTCTCTTTTAAATGCAGGTAGTGGGCGGAGCCTGATTGGGTAAAGGACACGGACTGATGATCACTGATAATAAGTGATTATGCCATGTGTGCAAAAATACCCATGTCAGCGAAAAGTTACTTAAATCGATTACGGCAAGAGGGGTAGGAGAAAATGAAAAATTTAAGATTTAAAGAATTTCAGAAGTTTCTCGTTTTTGGACAAATCCTGCCCATCGTGTCTTCGTGGTTCAGCGGTACTTGTCAGACCTTCGCGGGCCCTGTCATAGTTCCGTTTAGAATCAATCTATTCGGAAAAACTGCATTAGACATGATATAACTTGACGAGAACTACAAAAAAAATACTATTTTGATTACTGTATCTTGTCTATGAGCAAAGTTACAAGCCCAAAACCGTCGGAGCTACGCGGTCCCAGCTTAATGGCCTTGTAACTCTGTTCATAGAAAAGATACAGTAATTCAAACAGTATCAATCTGTAGTACTTGTCAAGTTCAATCATATCTAATTTAGTTGATCCAAGAATATTGATTCTAGAAGGAACTATTTCATTTCGTAATAGATCATATAAATTTGGGCTTTGATGTATGGTGGTCTCCTGGTCACATGAGCTCGAGCCAGCAGTAAACAGTGACATTATTTTTGTACGTGCATACCAAATCACTGATAACGAATGCTACGTGCTCGTCTTATCACCAGCTACGTGCGTTGTTGATGAGGGAAAAGGAGCTCTAAAATACTTTTTGTTTTGAAAGCAGTCAAACACAAAAAAAAATTATTTTTCAAATGGAACTTCCAGATCGAAACGCTTTTATCGCATTGCTTTTTCGTCTCATCTTGCCGTTAGCTAGAAACCTCTGAATGAAATTAGGTTGGACATCTCGATGGAAATAGAACATCACGAATCTAGAAGATTGCATATTGTAAAACCGGTTTTAAAGGAACATACCCATCTAGAGAGTAGATCAAAACAAATGAGACGGAGAGGAAGATGAATTGGAACCAGGTCTCATCACGGAGGGCGTAGATGTAACGGCAGTTGACAAGATCGATGACGTGGAGGCAGTCTTGGAAGACGTTCTGAAAATATACAGTACCCGGTCAATACGATGTATAACACTATATTTTTCAGTTGATTTTCGTTTATTTTCAAGAGTTTAGAGCTCGGCTGTCAAGTGTCGGATCACTTGGAAAATTTTGGAAATTGTTAAACAGACCTAGATTGAAAATTTTGTAATTACAGAATTTTTTGAAAATTTCCTTTTTTTTAGATATTTGCCAATATCTGTAAGACAGTTTTTTTTATCCCCATGGGAATTTTTAGCCATATTTATCTTTATGGGTATTTAGCCATATTTTTTCCTATGGGTATTTTAGCCATATTTTTCCTCATGGGTATTTTTATCCATATTTTTCCCCATGGTTACTTTTTCGCCATATTTTCCCCCATTGCTATTTTTCAGTCAAATTTTTCCCATGGTTCCCCTTTCTTTTACCATAAAAAGCCACAATTTTTGAAGTGCATGGAATTCGGCAAATAACAGAAAAACTAGGAATTTTCCAAAAATTCTGTGAATGCAAAGTTTTCAATCTAGATCTGTTTCACATCCTCCAAAGTTTTCAAAGTAATCGGAAATTTGAAAGCAGAGCTTTAGACTTCTAAATAATGCTGAAAATCTACTGAAAAATACGTTTCTCTATATTTCATTTCCCGGTTTTGCAACTTCTTATTTACCTGCAAAAACATACGAATCCATTTTCTCCTCCGCTTCCTTTCATCCGACTTCGTTATCCCTGTCACTTTTCCAAATATCAATTTTGCTGCTGACGATAGGTTCAAACCATTCGAGATTACTGTAGGCACTACTATACATCCAAAAATTATGGCTGATTGACTTTCAGAACAGTTCAAGTACTCAGAACGCCATACAAGCATTTCAGGATCGAAAATGTAGCCGCATGATTCTGAAAATAATTAGTTGTTTCAGTAAGTTCAGTTGGTAAGGTAAGGTTCTTACGTTCATAACCCAAAACTGAGCAAGTTACAGCTATTGCAAATCCCACAAAAATCGCAAAATGAGTAATCGGATATTTTTCAAATTTGAACTTCCAAAAAGGTATATACAACAGGAAAAATCGGTTAGAAGCCATTAAACATTGAATTATTGGTGCTAAGACATACGCTCCAGATCCTGCGATCTGTCCCATTAATGTATTCACACTCCTTGGTATATCCTTCAATGGAACTTGGAATAGGGTCAATGGACCACCCCAAAACAAAAAACTCGCACATATAACAATGTTTGGGATTGTTTTGACTATGCATAATTTGTAGAATCCATTGAATTTCCCAGGTTTTGAAAGGAACTTGAATAGACAGAAAAGGTTCACTATTATACCAAATGTACTAATCTGGAAAATAGAATTTGATGTAAGCTGGGCTATAGTTTTTTCTAGAATTGATATTTTTAGACCAACCAAATTAGATATGATAGAAGCCAACAAGGGCTACAAAAGGATATTGTTTGGAAAACTGTACCTAGTCTATAAACAAAGTTACAAGCCAAAAACTTTATGGACTACGCGGTCACAGCTTTATGATTTTGTGACTTTGTTCATACCAAAGATACAGTAATCCAATTAGTATCAATTTGTTGCGCTTGTCGAGTTCTATCATAACTAATTTAGTTGGTCCAAAAATATTCATCCTGAACAAAGGTACAAGCCAAAAACCGATTGACCTACGCGGTTACAAATTTATGCCCTTGTAACTTTGTTCATAGACAAGCTACAGTAATTCAATTAACATCATTTTATAGTGCTCGTCGAGTTCTATTGAATATGAGTTAGTTGGTTCGAAATATTACTTTCAAAAGGAACTATGGCATAGCCCCCACCAGGGCGAAAACTTACAAATATCAAAGTGAGTGATCCAATACAAAATAGCATAACTTTCGTGAGAACTTTGAGAATTCGTGATAAAAATCAGAGAAACTTAAAAGCAATAAATTTTTTATGTTGTTCTCAGAAGCAATTTCATCTAATTATATCGTTGGACATGTGCTCTAAATTACTACTTTTATAGAAGTAAAGTCCAGCATCAAGCTGGAGCTTTTGAGCATAAATACAAAGTATGAACTGAATTGACTTATCCATATCAGCTGGCAATCTTGAGTAATGCACCTGCAACATTTTGCGAGGGAGTAATTGGATCTGTAGACATAGATCGAAAACAAAAAATATGTATTCTTTTCAAATTCAAAAGAACAAATTAAACTAGGCATCCTTCTTCTTCTTACAGCAAGTATCCTCTCGGAAGAACTTCTTCTCGCACTTTTTGAAGCTGTGAAGGTATTCGCCCTTCTCGCAGCTGTTCGACATATTCAGCATATTGCGGTAGCAGCTGATGATGTGGCAGGATGGGTCGAGCTGTAAGACAAGTATTTAAAACCTATAATAGAAGGGCCCCTAACATTGAGTCTATGTATCTTATTTCCTGTGGAAAATATCTAAAAGTTGTTAACTGATAAATTGCTTATCATAACATCACAAATAATTTATCAGTTGAGACATTTTTGATATATCTAATAGTATCTGAGATAATTGAGCTCAAAGTACAAGTACCATGAATCCCTAACTTTTATATTTGAGCCAATATATCTCGGTTCCTGTAAAAGATATCTGAAAGAGGTTAACTGATAAATTGTTTATCATGATATCACAAATATTATGTCAGTTGACAAAATTTTTGTTATCTCTCATAGAAGCCGAGATGGTTGAGCTCAAACTTGACAGAGTGGATAGCTACGGTGGCGCGAGCTGAGACTGCCAAAAAAACTACGATGTTCCGATATTCCGCTTTCCCTAATATTCAAAAAAAAATTGACCTACCTCCAATGGTGGCGCCAATTGAGCCATCGAACTTGTTTTCTTCAAGGCTGGCTGCTCATTGTCCACTGGAGCACCATTGACGCCAAGGACCAGAATGGTCAACGCCAAAATCAAGAACTTCATTTTTCTAACCAAAAACCCAAAATTTTGAACTGCTACCCTTTTATACCAAAAGAACAAGGCATCATCAAAAATGTATTGACTGCTACTCTAAAATTTAGAGAGTCAGTGTTTTTGAGTGATTGGTAAACAAGAGAAATCTAACGTTTTTTTTTGGACAGCAGGTCGAATTTCAAGGTTATTCGAACAAATTGGAAAAAACATTGAGGTATCAAAGATTTCGTTTTTTGAACTTTTTAAAATGCTTCTAATAAAGAACGTGCCGTAAACACTATAATAGAAGGCCACCCAATACTTGCACTTCGAGCCGATTTATCCTCGGTTCCTGTGAAAGATATCAAAAAGTTGTCAACTGACAAAATGTTTATTATAATATCACGCACATTTTGTGTGTTGACCACTTTTTGATACCTGTCACAGGAACCGAGATATATGTGATCAAGGTAAAAGTATAGGGTGGCCTTCAGAGTGTTTGCAGTATGTTTATTTTTCAAAAAATAGGTTGCTGTAGTGGGGCCTTCCGATTTTTCGTACCAGTATAATTGCAAAAAGAAACTAAAGAGAGTGGGATTCGAACCCACGCCCCCGAAGGGACTGGTGCCTTAAACCAGCGCCTTGGACCGCTCGGCCATCTCTCCGCCGACATTCACTCATCAACTTGACAAGTAAGAGCTAGACCGACAACGACAAATTGTGAAACAAGAGAGGGCGAGATAAGAGAGGAAGAAAAAAATTGAAACAACACTTCATTCTACAATAGAAATTCAGTTTTATTCATATTATATACTCTGTGTCGCAATATGCCAATGTAATTAGGCTGCCATACAATAGTGCGTATTAACCAGAAATCCGCCAAAAATCCGTCCCAATCCCTGTGCTTCGAATGGTACATCGTTGGCCATATCAATTTCTCCAACTACGAATTCCTGAAATGTTTTTAAATGATTTCGAAAATTCCAGGCAACCAACCGAATCAGGGGCTAGAGAAGCTGAGATATGCTCACGTGGAATCTGAATCATCATGGCGCCTGTAGTACATTTCAACCCATTATAAGTCTCAGCGAGGCAATAATTGGGAACATAGATGTAAGGGTTGAAGAAGACCTTGAAACATTTTATTGGCAGGATTACTGTAACTTTGAAAACCTACCAAGTCCTTTCCAGAGTACTTTATATAGAACGATCCATCGTCATTGGTTGTTGTAGTGGTGAGCAGATCATCTTTGAAGACTGCAGAACTTTTTTATGGATAATTTTTTAAAAAATCTTACTGTAGTTCTTCTCGAAAGTCTCGATGGGCATTTTGGAGTACGCATTCCCATTGCACGTCAGGATGCCCCTGACAAAGAAAGAGCCTTGATCTGTGAGAAGAGCAACTGAAATCGGAGTTAGGAGAGTGATGAGCAGAAGCTGAAAAAATTTTTGGGTTTTTCTTGTGCATTGACCTATAAGTTTTTAATACCTGCTTGATCATGTCGTTTGTTTTTTTTTCTCTGCAACGAAGAGACTCGAAGGAAGATACGGGAAAATTTATTTGAAACGTGTTTGTTTAGATTTTGACACATTGAATACGTGGTTTTTTTTTGAAATTCCAAGTCATCTGTTGAACTTTTTGGGTTGACTCGAAAGGTCACGGAGAGAATTTTTTGTCAGGCATCTGACCCACTTTACAGCACACTCTTATCGGCAATTGCAAGTGAGCTACACAGGTGATTCGTGATTGACCAATTACAGAAGAAGGGCTATAATCGACCAATTACTTATCTACCGCGAACGAGAGGTTCTACAATTGACCATTCGCGAGCAAAATGCGTATCTTACTAACTGGCCCTATAAAAGGTCCACAATTGAACAATCGCGAAGAAATTCTTGTTTTTTTATTTTCCGAACTTCTTTTTCTTATTTTGAATACTTTACTTCTTTTTTCGCCGTTTTCTTCACAGTTTTTGTTCGGAATCTATAAATTAAAATATAATATTATACTATAATACTGTATAACCATGAATGTATCATTTTGTTTGCAGAAAAATAGAGAAAATAACCGGAAGACAAAAGTCAAAAGCAAGAAGCCGAAATTTCGAAAAACTCTGGAAGAAGCATTGCTTCTGTACTTTCAAAAGGTAAGAAGCGTCCAGAAAATCCGAATTTTTAATCTAACTTTTACAGGGTGCCAGAAAATCTCAATTTTCCTGTATGTCGACTGGGCACTCAGGAAAAATACAACTGAGAATGAGGAACAGTGGGTAAATTTGAAAACGAATATCAGAGAAAAAAGTTGATTTCAGACGGAAGTGTTAAGTTCGCGGATTTCGAAAAAAAATTTCCAGTCGATAACTTGTGTCAGAGGTATAGTACAAAAAGAATTAGCAGCTTAAAATCTAGATAATTCATTTCAGTTACTTCGAAACAACAATCAACATCATCTTCTGCTCATCGTCATCGACTGAGGCAAAAATGGACAAAACGAGAAGCTCCGATGCCGTTTCAGCCAGTTCGACAACAGCGGAAGAGAGTAATATAACTTTTAATTAATTGTTTTTTCGCTTTTCATTGTTTTTTCTGTGTAATAAACCATTTTTAGCAGCTGCTAGCTTCCAGATTCGAAACAATATATGCCAATTATTGCTCTCGCGACAAGCCAATTGTAGGAGATTTGCTCGCGATAGGGCGAATATTGGTCGTTTGCGGTGGCGCGTTCGCGATTGGTCTGTAAATGGCCTGCGGCAGGCATGTTCCGATGTACCCATGGCGACTTTCCGCGAACAATATTTCACCTATTATAGACGCTGCGCGAATCACCTGTGATATTCCGGTGGAGAGATGGCCGAGCAGTCCAAGGCGCTGGTTTAAGGCACAAGTCCCTTCGGGGGCGTGGGTTCGAATCCCACTCTCTTCAGTTCCTTTTTGCTTTCATGTTAGTACAAGAATCGAAAGGTCCCACAACGACAAATACAGTAACCTTATTATTTTCTTGTTTTTTACTTCTTTGTCGGTTATTTTCCTGAAATGTATTCCTTTTCTCTTTTTTCTCTTTTTCCACGACGGAAGGTCGTAATCAATAAATAAATAAATAAATAAGTTCGAAAAAATTAACAACTTTAGAAATAAACATATTTTTAGAGTAGTTGTCGTTGTGGGACCTTTCACCTACATTTCTCAACCACATCTCCGTATTGTTAGCATTATATGTCAATTTTTTTGAGAAAAATATTCTGTTTAAAAAGGTATTTTCAAAAATTCAGAAGCTACCGTACACACTCAAATAGAAGGCCGCTCATCCGGTCGACTTTGAGCTCAAATATCTCATTCCCTGTAACAGATATAGAAAAGTTGTCAATTGATAAAATGTTTACCATAATATCACCAATATTTTATCAATTGACCGATTTTTATATCTGTTACAGGAACCGAGATAATTGAGCTCAAAGTTAATGATATGGGAGGGCTTCTGTTAGAGATAGTACGGTGAAAGAATTCAGAAAACAAACTAATTATCTTTATTCATTGTTCGCTACAAAAATATGACACCAGTTCAATAATCTCGACACTCCACTGTCGGCGTGAACATCCCTAATGTAATCCATCCAAGTCCGGATCGCTCGGTGTAATAGTTGTCGTCCAGATCAACAACTCCAATGTCAAACATCTAAAACCATTGACTTTTTAAAATTTGTGAATGAAATATTATACTTTATCTGCGAAATGAGTTTCTGAGACATATTCGGAAGGAATATTAAGCTGCATTGCACTTCTACTGCATCGACGACCCAGAGACAGCACAGTTTTACAAAAAATCGGGATATATACATATGGGGTGAGGGAGATCTGCAAAATATTGATATGGAAAACCCAGATAGTCTGTGCTTTTAAGTTTTTAAGCTTTAAAAGGCATACCAAATCGGTTCCTGAGACTTTCATCGAGAAATTTCCATTTTTGTCGGTCAACGTTTCCATCCACAATTCATCGGCAAGCACTGAAAAATTACAAAATCACCCGAACTGATAAAAACAGGTGTATCTTTAGACATTCGTCTCTTGGAAGCACAAACATTGGTATAGGCATAATTGTCTATTTGATTCAAAGCTACAGAAGATTTCAGAGCAATTCCTCAAGTCTAGGTTTTGTTATGGTTCTTCGAGATGAATCAACTTTGACAAGCCATAACTCCGCTCAAAGTTGATCAAATATCTTAAAAATTGGCCAGTTTACTGAATTATTATTTGAATTTTCGAACTCCAAATTTAAGCCCAGTACAACGCTTCACTCAAGTTTTATAAAAACTTTAGTAAAGATAATTATGCACCACCCTGTTTGGAAATAAATCAATATTTACAATATTTACCATAATTCTTCTCATAAATCCGAACAGGTTGATAGGCATACGGTGTCTCGTCGCAAAGCAGTTGCCCTGCTGCATAAACCGATCCTTCGGCAGCAAAAGTAACAATTGGAGCTAACAAGGTGATGAGGAGGAGCTGAAAATTACTTTTTTTCAACTGCTGGATTTCAATCTTAAAGGGGGCCAGACATCAAAAAAAGTGTTTCTGATATTTTGCCTAGAGAACCCCCATGAGGAGATGAACTCATGACAGGCAGCTCAGGGGTACAGCGCCGCTACCGGCTGACACGGCTGAGCTACGGGGGCGCCAAGGGGCCTGCCGACCGATGGCCTACATAAGCGCGGCGCGCTTTCGTCCCCCAAACTGTCCGCCAAAATTTTTGCTGTCTCGCCTCCTTTAAGCTTACCGTAAAGCCTTTGGGCCTGTCAAGTTTGAGCTAACTTTTCTTGCATCTATGCAAGATATCAGCAATCTGTCAACTGATAAAATGTTTGTGATAAAATGATAAACAATTTATTAGTTGACAAATATTAGATATCTTTGACTGAAACCGAGATAAATTGGCTCAAAGTTGAAAGTTAGGGGCCCTTCTATCACAGGTCTTACCTTACCTGGTTCAGCATTATTCCTCGAGAACCGGAATTTTTCAGAGTCAAAGCTATTCTGATGATATCGAAGCTGGATGTTGTTGGCTGATGACTAAACTGACCGAAAAAAACTTTTTTTTTGAATTTCACGAGATAATTCAAATTTCGAAATCATTTCCCGTGCTCACCTCGATAATCTTAATGTGTCACATAATATCCTACTGCTGTGTTAGTTGAAAACAAAGGAAAGTTATTGACTAGCCTTGAGTTTTCTCCGGTCCCTTTCTTCTTCCAGCATTTTGCTACAGTACTCCTATAAGGCTTGTGTATCAAGATCATGGATAGTGTGCTAACCAGGCCATGAAGCGAAGTCACCGCTACGATAATATTGTTGAATGCTGAAAAATTGTTTCAAGAAGTTTCAGATTTCTAGAAATCCGCTTAGGATCCAAGGGTACATCGAAGGTGCATAGAGTTCTTAGGGTACAGTGGTTCGGATGGTACATGGGATCTTGGGGTTTGGGGACATTTCAGCCTAAGCCTATCATTTTGAGCACAAAGCAAAACTGTCTGTATTTGGGTTTTTTAGTCATCCTACATGTACCACAAAGTCCCTTGTACTTTTGGGACCAACCTACCCTAAGGACTAGATGTATTCTTGGATACATTACCCCGACACTCACGTCGACTATAAATTCCCAATGGAATCGTCAGCATCGAAAGGGACGCCGGAAGCACTAGATATATTAATGGGATCCCGGTTTGCCATATCAACGCCTTCAGAAGGTTCTTCTGAAGACGTCGTGTACTTTCCGAGAGCAAATTAGCACCAAAGTTTGAAGATAATTGCACTATAATCACGATGGTGAATGTTAAAAGTTGGCCAAAAACAACAAGGATAAATACAAGTGCAGTGAAGACTATGATGTCATTGTTTAGGCTAGGAACTATAATTTCCGTTGAGTAGAGGAAGTCGGGGATACAAGGAAGTTTCTGGAATAGTTACGGTAAAATCTCTAATAGAAGGGCCCTAACTTTTATACTTGAGCCAATTTATCTCGGTTCCCGTTAAAGATATCAAAACTTCATCACTTAAACAATGCTTGTGATATTATGATAAATTGGCTCAAAGTTGGAAGTCAGGGGGCCCTTCTATTACAGGTTTTACGGTGTATATTTTACTCACAATAAGAACCATTTGCCTTGCTTGATCCTGGTCTGGAACTTGCAGCATCGTAGGTATAAGGAAGATAAAAACAAACAAGATATTTCCAACAACCCAAAATGGTTGAAATTTCTTCCAGTGCTTATTTTTATGGTTCAGTAAACGGAACCGGTTCTCAAATATCATCGTTGTAGAGACACAAATAACTGAAACTTCAGAGAATTAGATATAGAAGATTCCAGAAAAAATAGGAAACTCACAACATAATGAAGTTATCAATATCCACAACTGAACCGTCTGTCTGATACCCCAGTAGCTAAATAAGCCAAGTAGAAATCCAGATGCGCTTGGAAAGAGAGGAAATGGGATTGCAAACACATTCAACATCAAATCCACCAGAACATTCCAGAAATGAAAATTCAGAAGGGTCAATTTTACAGAATGCATCGTTGAAGGTGTCTTTTTCGAAATACAGTATGCTCCAAAAAGATGTAAAGGGGTTACAAGGAGAGCCATAATGTGTGAAAATATCAAGACGGTTTCAGGAGAGTTGAGCCAGGATTCTGAATCTGGGGAGCATAAATTTTCGTAAAAATTAGAAGAAGACGATGTCATTCTGAGAAAAATAAGCACGAAAAAAATAAGCTAGATTTTCCGAGTCTAGTCCATAATTAATATCTTTGGTGCTTTCCATTTTGTTTTTCAGAATTTTTTTCTAAAGACTTGGTGCTTTTTTTCTCTGACAACATGTTTGCACCAAAGCTCGAATGTAATTGGCTGGTTTGCATTATAGAAAACATTTAGAGTTGCCCAAAAACAACTAGTGGAAATGGAGAGGGACTAAAAAAAAAGAAGAAAGGGGGGACACTGGCCAAAAAAAGTTTTTATTGCATTGAAATGTTCGAAAGGTTGTGTACTTCTGTAATATCATTACGAAGAAAAACTAGAAAAAATATTTAAAAAATAAATTTCTACTGCAATGTTATAGTTAGTCAAAAATTTAAGGTGTGTTCTATAGAGTTTGTTTCCAAACATTATGATTAAGATCCTTGAGCTGCACATTTTAGCAATATTTATTTTTAAATAAAAAAACCAAAAAGGATAAATAATTTTAATGTGTCACATAATATCCTACAGGTGCATTAGTTGTAAACAAAGGAAAGTTATTGACTAGCCTTGAGTTTTCTCTGGTCCCTTTCTTCTTCCAGCATTTTGCTACAGTACTCCTATAAGGCTTGTGTATCAAGATCATGGATAGTGTGCTAACCAGGCCATGAAGCGACATCACAGCAATATTAATATTGTTTAGTGCTGAAAAAATGTCTCAAAAAGTTTTTGTAGAGCTCTGACACTCACGTCGACTATAAATTCCCAATGGAATCGTCAGCATCGAAAGGGACGCCGGAAGCACTAGATATATTAATGGGATCCCGGTTTGCCATATCAACGCCTTCAGAAGGTTCTTCTGAAGACGTCGTGTACTTTCCGAGAGCAAATTAGCACCAAAGTTTGAAGATAATTGCACTATAATCACGATGGTGAATGTTAAAAGTTGGCCAAAAACAACAAGGATAAATAAAAATGCAGTGAAGACTATGATGTCATTGTTTAGGCTAGGAACTATAATTTCCGTTGAGTAGAGGAAGTCAGGGATACAGGGAAGTACCTGGAGCAGTTATTTTTGATATGTTATACGGTAACTTATACGTTTTCACTCACACTAAAAACCATTTGCCTTGCTTGATCCTGGTCTGGAACTTGCAGCATCGTAGGTATAAGGAAGATAAAAACAAACAAGATATTTCCAACAACCCAAAATGGTTGAAATTTCTTCCAGTGCTTATTTTTATGGTTCAGTAAACGGAACCGGTTCTCAAATATCATCGTTGTAGAGACACAAATAACTGAAACTTCAGAGAATTAGATATAGAAGATTCCAGAAAAAATAGGAAACTCACAACATAATGAAGTTATCAATATCCACAACTGAACCGTCTGTCTGATACCCCAGTAGCTAAATAAGCCAAGTAGAAATCCAGATGCGCTTGGAAAGAGAGGAAATGGGATTGCAAACACATTCAACATCAAATCCACCAGAACATTCCAGAAATGAAAATTCAGAAGGGTCAATTTTACAGAATGCATCGTTGAAGGTGTCTTTTTCAAAATACAATAGGCTCCAAAAAGATGTAAAGGGGTTACAAGGAGAGCCATAATGTGTGAAAATATCAAGACGGTTTCAGGAGAGTCGAGCCAGGATTCTGAATCTGGAGCGCATAACGTTCGTAGAAAGGAGAAGAAATCATTTTTGATTCTAGTCCGTGCTTGATAGCTTTGAAGAAATAACGTATTCTCAACTGTGTTTTCCACTTTGTTTCATACTCGCGACCGAATAAGAGGATTCAGAATTTGATTGCTTTGCTAGAATGTGAGATCCTTGCGATAAGGAAATACCAGACTCAAAACAACGGCTCAAAAATGTTTTCGGGTGGTTTTTTTTTCGTCTGACAAAATGTTTGTATCAAAACTCGAATATAATTGGCTTTTTGGCATTATAAAAATATTTTTGAGTTGACCAAAAGCTGATAAAAAAGAAAAAAAATGTTCTGATGTTTAAATTTTCAGTTTTGTGCTAAAAGTAATGAGTTTCGCTCTGTTTAGCAATATTTATATTAAAATTTAAAGAAAAAAAAACAAAAAAAAACAGAGAAACAGTATTTCAGATTATTTAGAAATCAATTCGAGTCGTTTTCAAGAATAAATCCACTTGCACGGATGGATCGAAAACACGAAGAAATGGAAAATGAGCCATAAAGGTGTGGAAGGCATGAAACGAAGGAGGTGGAGATACTGAAGATGGAGAATTGGGAGCTATTGAAGGGGGAGAGCTGAAAAAAGAGAAGAATCTTAATCAGAACTTCCGGAGTTTTTTACCTGGTCTCCGATCCACTAGACAAAATGCTCTCGATGCTGAATGGCAGAGGTTGGAAGTTGTTCCAGGTACCACTAGAACCAGATTCCAGGAACCTCCACTCAAAAAGTTTCCCCTCAACCTTCTCCAACGTCTTGTCCTGTTTGCAGAACGTGCGAAGGGACTTACACATGTTGTCATACTTCATAGCCCGAACCTTTCTACCTGGCTTGGTAGCTGCCCATAGCTCGGTGACCTTCATATGGTCCACAAACCGGAATTGCAGTCTGGACTTGTCGGTCCAACAGATGAGATGTTGGTTGGATTCGTCTTCAAGAAGTCCACGAAGGAATGGAAGGAGACACAGCTTTGAAGTTTTCTTTTGGTTCACTTTCATGGTTGGGATTTCTGAATATGGTTGGTATAAGATAGCAGAGATTTTGCGCACTCTAATCTTGCACTTGAGCTCAATTTTCTCGGTTACCCTGAAAGATATCAAAATTTTGTCCACTGAAAAAATATTGATGATTTTATGACAAATAATTTATCGGTTGACGATTTTCTGATATCTCTCATGGAAATCAAGATAATTGAGCTCAAAGTGGACTTATTTGGTAGAGAGAATACGGCAAGAAAGAAACAGGGCTGTGGAACTGAGCCGTCGCTCTCCAAGATACTGTACTTGAAAAATGAGCAGCATATGATCCGATAGGGGCGGTACATAACTTTTACTATGTCGTTCGTGGTTTTATACTTTTATTGCCGGGCTCTATTAGGTTTTATTACCGTAAAAGAGGGGTATACAACTCGAAAAGGAGCCCCCGGAGGCTGTAAATGATCTTTGTACCTACCGTACCTATGGGAAACCTGTAAATTGAGTACTCGGTGTTTTGAATTCGAAAGTCGGACTGGATCTTGGTATACTGTAGTCTAAGAATATGAAAAAAAGTATCTCCAAAGCTAACATCTTGGGGGAGCTGATTGGTCCACGGCAATATACCCATGGCTTGATCCTCGACCGTCCGCGGCCGCGATTTGAACATCCCTACTCCCAAAAACGGAATGTCTAGGAACCGATAGAGAACATTTCGGATGCGTGGAATAGAAGAATAGGAGAAAAACAATCAGGAACATAAAAGTAATTTATTTGAAACTGGCTACAACTGCCTACAAAAACCTTTAACGTTCATCTAACAAAATTCATCTAACAAGTAAAATGTAAAATCCTAATTTTTTATCATTTAGCCGGAGTTCCACATATCACTGCACTCGTTGGAACATATTCCTCCATCGTACTTGAGCATCTGGAAGAATAGTTTTGCATTTCAGAAGTTCCCAAAGTACTGACTTAACAGTGAATAACTTTCCGTTTCTTGAATCACCCGTATTTCGAAAAATCATCATCCGAACGCAATCCCCTGTTCCAATTTTTCCGAGATACCATTCAGATCCAGAATGTTGTTTTAGATAGGGATCTTGGAATTGGAATTCTTGTGTTGCCGATTTCCGTTTTCCATCTATCCAGACTCCGATTCCTTGGTAAGGAGTAGTGGATGTGGAAAGATATTGGGCCATGCCTTCCGTAAAATAAAATGTTGATTGTCCACCCTATACGTTGAGCTCACTTTGAGCGGATTTATCTCGGTTCCTATAAAAGATATCGGAAATTTGGCTACTGATAAAATATTCATCATAATGTCAGCAACATCTTATCAGTTGAAAATTTCATGATATCTTTCACAGGAACCGAAATAATTGGGCAAAAAATTCGGGGGGTACAATGATTCGGGGGTACAAGGGGGTACAACTGATTTAGGGGTACAAAATTGATGATTCGGGGGTAAAAAATTCGTGGGTACAAAAATTCGGGGGTACAACGATTCGGGGGTACAAACTACCAATGATTCTGGGGTACAACTCATTTCATTTAGGGGTACAACGCTTGTGATTCGGGGGTACAATTTTTTTTGAGGGAGTTTCTGAATTTCAGAGCTCGAAAACATCAGAGTTTCAGAACTTCAGAATTTTGAAATTTCAGAATCTACGAATTTTGGAACTTCTGAATTTTTCTCATCTTCCTTTTTTCCATATTCCTCCGTTCTTCCCAATTTTCCGTTTTTTCGCAATATTTCGGTTTTTCTCCATTTTCCATTTTTTCTCAACTTTTCTCAATTTTCGTGGTAATTGAAATTTTTCTTATTTTTTAAATAATTTTGATAATTCGGATTCAATTTTTTTTCAATGTTTTAAAGACAAAACAGAACAATTTTATGTGGCAACAATTCATAGTTGAACAACACAACAGCAACAACAAAGAATGCAAAAACAAAAAAAAAGGATTAGACAATTAAGAATGACCTTAAGATGAGAAAAAAAAATTGAAGCCAATTGGGGTTTATTTGAAGGGAGCTTGGTAGCGGGAAGGAGGACCTGAGTTTCTCTTTGACTTCTTTCTAGGCGGTGATGGACAGTCTTCTGGTGTTGTTTCGGTGTCTCTGTAATATATTAATGAGCTGATTGAACATTTAAATGAGTCGCTCACTTTGTCTCACTGTCGTCTGAATCATCCGAAAGTCGATGCATGTATCCAATCGGAAACTTTTCTTTGAGAGACATTGGTTTCACATGTTGTCCTGTGGAAACATCGGTCACTTCTTCAGAATCGCTTTCAGGCTTTCTCGAGCCCTTTTCTCCAAGAACATCACGAAGATCGATCTGTGAACTATGATCATTCGAGACACGATTTGATGGCTTCGGCACTGGATTGACATTCTGATATCCGAAAATATCATTCTCCTCATCAGAATCGCTGTCATACTTTCTTGGATCATCAGAAAGATCCATGCAAGAATCATGAGAGTTCAAGTGATCCACAGAAGGGTCAAGGACTAGATTGACATGTTCATCATTGGAATTACAATTAATTTCATCCTCGACGATATCTCCCGACTCATCGAAGACATTGGGTTTAGAATTCAAGCTATTCACATCACAATCACTGTCATTTTCCTCATCACTAGAAATATTCCCATCTGCTTTCCTTTCATCATCACCGCTTTCAGACTCGCCAGAGACATTTCTATTGACCTTCTTGAATTCGGATACAGTTCTCCCGCCGTTATTATGTGACCTTTTAGAGTACTTCCGGTTCGGGTATCTTTTTGCGTCTTTTCCGTCGTTGATTGATTTGATTTGCAAACTCCTCGACAGTGAAATCAAGAACTTTTCGCGAATATTCAGAACTTCTTGGCATTTTTTCGTTGGCGGTGTACTGAGTACAGCGAAGCTAAAAAAAAAAACATACTCCAGTATGAACGCAATTCAAACATACACATGTGAGCAAGTGATAGCAGGTTTTGAAGCACACTTGGGATCCTTGCATTCGATATTTGTTTCGGTCGTTTTCACAACAAAAAACGATTTGTTATCTTTCTCCACAAGATACTGACCGGATTTATGGTAGATTACGTTCTTATTGAAGACTTCTCCAATTTTCATCTGTTTCGGCACACTTCTCCATACGGTTTTCGGCATTTCAAACACATGAGATAACGAAAAAGTACGAAATCCATGTTTTTGCAAAGCTTTAACTTGACTTTGTGCTGACAAAATTCCGGTTTTTTTGAAATTCGCGTATCGGATCAGCTCGCTCTTTCCAGTCAAAATCGACTTGCAAAATTCCTTTTTCTCATCTGTAAAACATATCCAACTTTAGATGTTTTTACAGTCAACCCTACCCTCGATAAATTCCAACAGCTTATCCAAGCAAGTGCGTCCATTTAGTTTTCGTGGAATCGCAATTTTGATTCGTGAATTAAGGTTCTCAATTCGATTCGTAGATGCATAGTTTAGAAGCAGCCCAGCCATCAGACGAGATCGGAGAGAATGGGTTGAAAAGAGATCTTCTTTTCTATCGAGCAACCACTTCTTTAGAGCCGGCGCAAAATTACACTTGACAATCTCCGCTTCCATCGCTTCTGAACTCATTACATTGAAAATTCCATTTTCAACTTCATCTCCAATCTGTCTTCCGAAAATTTTGTTCAAATCTGACTGGCTTATATTCTTTTTACTTTGAATGAATGTCAAGTTGTTTCGACGATGTACTAGACACCTGAGAACTTGAGTGTCTTCCAAATATTTCATCTGAAAGAAACATGAGACTACACAAATTTAAAGTTTTCTATACCTTGCTGTAATATTTAAAAGATTCTTCGCCGTCTGTCATCAGTGATGGAATTGATTTTTTTCGCATAGGATCAACTTGCAGGAAGAAATCGTCAATTTCGCGAGCAAAACTCTTGTGATTTAGTGCATTTTTCGACGAGGAAATCATGAATCCTAAAAGAACATGGCGAATTTTTCCGCTGCAGCGCGATGTGAAGTCTCCTATATCTCCAGAGATTGTTGTCACAACACAATCTGACAAATCAAAAGTGCTATCAATCTGTAACTGTCCAGCCATATGCTTAATAATCCCACTATTTGCTGTCGGACTGTAACAAGATAAAAAATCATTGACTTCTTCTGAAGTCCAATCTTCGCATCCAGTTAAAAGCTTTCTATATTCCAGTACAGTTTGTTTTGTCGGTAGACTATTCATATAAAGATTCAGTGTGTCCGAATCGAGATAAATCGCTCCAAACTGGTTATCTAAAATGAAAAAATTATATTTTCAAAAAAACGTTCCTGTTTACCACTAGGAAATAAACGGAAGCCATTTTCTGTTCCAAAAGATGCGAGTGATTCTGGTGTTGTCACGCTCACGCGGCCCCTCTTCGACTTCACACAATCCGGCTGATACTTCATCTGGTTTCTGATTTGGCGGGTACTGAAATTAAGGGCTCCTGATTTTAGATCTTCGAAAGCTCCTTTCACAGTTCTTCCTTTCAGGGACCGATGAATCAATTGACACTCTGCTTCTGAATATTTGAATTTTATATAAACGCTTTTATTAGAGCAAAGTTGTTCTTACCAGTTAGTCTGTTAGGTTTTGATGATTTCAGAACATCGTAGTCCATTCGACCATTTTGAGACACGTATACTACGAAAAAGAACTCTTCCTTCTCCGGATAAATCTCAAATTTTTTGAAAGCATCATCATTAGGATTGATGCAATTGTAATATCTGTAAGAGCATCCATCGTATTCGATCTTTCTGGGTCTCGGACGGATTTTTCTACCTGAAAAGAAAATAATAAAAATGAATTGAAAATCAGCTGATCCTACCATTCGTTGTCTTTCACCAAGACAGTCCATCACAAAGTTTATGATCTTCGTTTCGAAATTTTGCGAATTTCACTGACGGTTCCGAAAACACTGGCAAACGAAAATCGGTGAGATTTGACGATGTCACACTGAAACAGATAACTTGGTTTTAAAATTAAATTTTCTTTTTCAACTGACCAGTTTTCAATGATATCTTTCATCGTTTTAACTGAAAATTTGTTCGAATAGGGACCTGTTCTCCATATGCCATCCTCATCCAAATCAAGCGAAAATTCTTTTATTGGTTCTCCTTTGGCAGATATTTTCGTTTTTTCTGGTTCATTTTGGCCGTCACTCGACATTTTAATTTCAGAATCACTCTCGTCCATTTTGAGATTTTTGTAAAATCACAAAAACGTTCTGAAAAAAAGATGAAAAACGAAAAAATAGGACAATTGGTAGTTCAAAAATACGTCATCGATTACGTCATATGACGTCATCGATTACGTCATACGAAAAATGAGACTAGGACTGAAAATGGTGACCAGAACTACTGTGATAGCCAAAAATTCATAATCTTCCACAAATTTCTGCAAAAAAAAATACGAAAAACAGTCGAAAATCGTTGAAAATCGAGAAAATAGGAGGAAAAATAGAAAAAATTGCCTTCGTAAATCGACAACGGCCCCTGGCCTAGAAAATTCCGGAAACTCTTCCATGAGAATTTCGAGCAATTTTTTGAGATTCAAACACAGAACTCACAGTAAAAGACACATTTTCGAGAAAAAAAAGCAAATTTCTTATATAAAAAATTGTTTTAAACACTGACAGATAAAGTACAGAAGTGAGCGATTGGAAACGACGATGGAATCAGCTGAAATCAAAATCCTGGCCTAAAAATAATTTTTTTCAGACAAAAATCCCTTAATTTCCGATTTATTTCTGATTTCGGAAGACAAATAATAGGTTTTTTTTTCATAGTTTTGCTGTCAGAATTCGGAATTCATGCCTTTTCATTGGTTTTTCCTTCATCTCTACAAAGTTTTGTAAACTACAGAAGTGAAAAAAAAAACTAAATGAAATCTAACAGAAAAATTTCAGTGCCGAATTGAATTTTAAATTACGTTGTGTCCACTTTCAGATATAGTCGTGGGAAATCTTCCGGAAGTTGTTTTTTCTCAACCTCTTTCACTTTCTTCCTGCTTTAGAAACCACCGAATATGTACGGGTTGCGGTTGAGAAGGGAAACTGGGTGAATTGGTGTAGTGGTGCGCGTGGGTGCACGAAAAACTGAAGTCGCGAGTTCAATCTCGACCAGATCCGAACTTTTTGTTTTTGTGCAACTACCTAGATGTACCCCTTCAGACTGCGTACCCACTCAGTCAATGTACCCCTTGAGCATGATGTACCCTATTTCGATGTACCCCTGGAGAATGGACCGAAATTCTGTCCGAGTTTCTGAGATTTTGAAGTGCTGAAAATCTGAAATTCTCAGACTGTGAAGTTCCGAAATTCTCAGGTTCCGAAATACTGAAATTCCAAAGTTCTGAAATTCAGGAATTCAGAAACTCCCTCAAAAAAAATTGTACCCCCGAATCACAAGCGTTGTACCCCTAAATGAAATGAGTTGTACCCCAGAATCATTGGTAGTTTGTACCCCCGAATCGTTGTACCCCCGAATTTTTGTACCCACGAATTTTTTACCCCCGAATCATCAATTTTGTACCCCTAAATCAGTTGTACCCCCTTGTACCCCCGAATCATTGTACCCCCCGAATTTTTGGCCAAATAATTGAGCTCAAATCCCACGTATAGGCGAGCTAAGACCTACCTTTCGCAAGTTCAAGCTCTTTTAATGTTTCCAGCCCAGTAATCGTAGCGTTCAAATGTTGACAAACCATACTAGCACTAATTTGATTCATTGCGGTCCAATTTGTCTTGTGGCCAATCTAAATTTGAATGAACCTTCAAAATCTGGAAGAAACTACACCTACACTAAAACACCATTGTAAAGAAGGTCTTTCGATTAGTTGGAAGTATTGCGGACAAGATTTAGATAACTGAAATACGTAATAAAATTTTTTAAGAGACATTCGAATTTTAAAAAAAACCGGAGTCAATGTTGTCGTTTCCATGCTTGAACTAGAAGAGCTTTCCAATGCTATATTAGATAAATCAGTATCACTTTGAACACTACAATACGGTCTTGGATCGGAGGTCCCGATGAATGTCTGAAAACATTGGAAAATTGACTTTCGTTTTGAAAATCAAATAACCTTTATTCCTATGTAAGATCTTGGCATGTATTTGTTGATGGTAAAATTAGACTCATATTTACAAAAATTACAAAAACCTGTTGGAGGGCAGGAGAACAACTGTAAGAGTTTGGAATATAATATAAGTACATAAATATGTCAGCTACCTGACAACTAGTGTTCTTTGCACATTGATATGCACATTTCGTATAGTTATCAGTTTTTTCAACCGAAGCAGGGCATCCTGCAACACTAATGCTTCCTCGGAACACAACAATATTAACTTCTTTTTCCTGTAAACAATTTTGTCAAAAGTATTCCGGTAAATTCACAGAAAACTATCGGTAATTTTTTGAAATTTTTTTGATTTTTTTTTTCAAATTTTGTAACCGGACGTATTAAATCATTTCGTATGGATCATTTCGCATAAGGGACAGTTTAGAACTGACCGTCTCGTAACTAAGGCTTTATAGAACCGCGACGTTTCTGCACCGTGATGTTTCAGAATTGCGAGCTTCCAGAACCAGGTCGTTTTAGAATTGCGACGTTTCAAAACCACGACATTTTGAAAAATGTTTTAGAACCGCGGGATTTTAGAACCGCGACATTTTAGACCCGCGACGTTTTCGAACTGACCATTTCAAAACTGCGACGATTTCGAACCTCGACATTTTAGAACCGCGACGTTTCAGAACTGTGAAATTTTAGACCTGCGATGTTTCAGAACTGCGACATTTTAGAACAACTTTTTAATATCTTTCACATGAATCTAGATAACAGAGCTCAAAGTTGACAGTTTTGTTGAGCTTCTATTAGAGGGAGTACGGTTACCAAATGCAGCTTACTTGAATTCCAATGGTGCATATTATCAAGAAGACAAAAATAAATATTTTCATATTTTGCAAAACTTTGCAAAAATGAATATTCAATTTTTTATAAGCATCACAGGCATATGACGAGCTTCATAGAATTTAATGGACCATTGTCTTGATTGATTTCTAATGGTTCATTAGTAATGAGAGAGAACCAAAGAAGCTGTCCTTTCTTTTATTACGCAGTCTGTATAAACAATGTATAAACTTTTATTTTTATTCCAAATTTTTCCGTTTTGCTGGTCCATCAATTCTGTAAGTTCTATTGAAAGGAGTATAACGATTGATTCTAGTTTTCTAGACATCCAAATATCAAATGATTCTTGTACGTGGTAATTTGGGATCTACAAACAATTGCACCTCTTATTCTGAAACAAATTTTAATTTTATCAATTGCACAGTGATGTGCGCAAGGTCAGAATTATGTTCGGTAAGAAAAATGGAACAATTGTCGTAATATAGAAAATTGTAGGTAACGCAATTCCAAAATGACACATGTTTTCTTTGTGGAATACCGGCTCGAAGTTCCTTGGAAATAAGCAATGATAAATCATTTATTGGTGTTCCCGTGGTAATTCTTAATTCTTGAATGAGGCTTCCATTCGGTCGCGAAATTTAGCCGACCGGCTGACCGACCGGGCGATCGCCGGTCTAGCCGACCGACGCGTTCGCGCGTCAACATCCCAGAGAGTGTTTGCGTACAGAGCATGCTCATCAAATGCGTCATGCGTCGTAAAATAAAATGCTGTGTACCGGTCGGCGGTCGTCGATTTTGACCGACCGAAGTGAAAGCCTCATTCTGAAGAAGCGGTGTCTAACTGTTTTTAAGGTTAACGAAACTTCGGACTTGGAATCCATGTGTGACAGTCTGCGGAACACTTTGACATCGACTACACGAACAACTAAGGTTTGTTTGAATTGTAATACCGTAAAGCCTGTATTAGAACGGCTCCCATAATAGAAGGACCCTCCCAGAGAGGTGTTGGAAAATAGAAGGTCCCTCTAATAAAAGTGCCTCCTTCAAAATATGTATTTAGAGTAAGCCTCCAAAGATACCCTAACAATAAAAGGGCCGACCCTTCTATTACAGGTGTTATGGTAACTTTAGTTACGCAGATTACAGAGCCTAATAACAACTATTCTCCCAAAATCCTGTCCTCCTGGCAACTGGAAAATGTTCTTAAGAGGTTCCGATTACTGGTGTCTTGGGGTATGAGTTCTTACGTAGTCCCTACATTGCATAAGGATTTTCAGGTGATAACGTCCTTTGCGCCTACAAGAAAAAATTATACAGCAGCAGTGAATTTATGTTCCAGCCAAAACATTAAAATTGCCGGGCTCAATAGTGTCGAGGAGCAAGTTTTCGTTAGAGGTGAATGCTAATGGAAACTCACTCAGTACTTGAACTTTGAGCTCAATTATCTTGGTTCTTATGACAGATATCAAAAATCTGTCAACTGATTAAATGTTTATCATAATATCACCAACATTTTATTAGTTGACAGATTTTTGATATCTCTGCTAAAAAACGAGATAATTGAGCTCAAAGTGCACGTATAGGGGCAAATACTGTAGGTTGCGTATTATTTGCAGATTTCGGAAATGTAATCCGGGCTAGTCAGCTACTTCCGGAACTACGAGTTTGGGTAGATGGAATGAGGAAACCTAAATGTGTTTCAAGTGACTGGCAATTTGTTCCGGGTTGTGACTATTCTAATGTGATTTTAACTTTGATTTTTGTTTTCTACAAAACTACAATTTTAGGCATTCGATTTCACAGATACTTCTCTGGTTAGTAGAGATGGATACACATGGATGGATGGTGAACCAAATGGAATGCTGGATAATAATGTTATTCAAAGTTGCATTCACATGATAGCGACAACTGGTTATCGTTCGGGATCAGCAGATGACATCAGCTGCAATTTTAGCACTCCTAAAATTTTAGCAGTTGTTTGTGGACAGAAAGCTACATAATTTTTTTGTTTCTTCAAAATGAAAACTTGGATTTTTTTTTGAGATCTTTGAATCATGTGATTTTGCCAGACAGAATTATAAATTTCAAAAGTTAAGTGGTCCGTGAGACGGATGGTCTCGGTCATGTGGTTCGAACTTTTTTATATGTCATTTTTCCATTCTTTGCTGTTGATACAATGTATCTTTCCTGGATCTTGTCCTTCCTTATTAACCTCCCGTTAATTGATTCAGCGAATTTTGTGAGTTTTTCTGCCCACCCAAACCTTCAACTTTGAGCTCAATTATCTCGATTCCCGTGAAATATATCAAAATTTTGTCAACTGATAAAATGCTGGTGATATTATAGTAAATATTTTATCAGTTGACAAATTGTTGATATCTTTTACAGAAATCGATATAATTGAGCTCAAAGATGTAATTCGAGAAAATACGGTGATTCAGACGACACAAATGATTGTGATTCGTGCTAACTTGAGCTCGTTCGATAACTGTACTGAGTACTCTTCTGCCACCGAATTGAGTTTCAAGGAATGCACAATTCAATGTGCCAAATCTGTAGATTGCAGGGTAAGGAATCTACCGTATAACCTGTAATAGAAGGGCCCCATACACTGTCTAGTTTGAGCTCAATTGTCTCGGCTCCTATAAGAGATATAAGAAATGTGTTCATTGATAAAATGTTCGCAATATCCTAATAAATATTTTATCAGTTGACAACCTTTTTAAATCTGTCACAGGAGCCGAGATAAATTAGCTCGAAGGTAATAGTCCGGAGACCCTTCTATTACTTCGTTGTTAGAAGTTTTTGCGATAAAAAGATTTTCTTCAGGTAAATCAGGTTCAAAATAACACTTGTATTTTATGCGGTGATAAAGGACGATGGTCATTGAGGGACTACATCAGTGTTTCGCTAACAGGAATTAAGGTGTTTTATTTGATTTTGGGGCTCTTCTATTACAGGTTTACAATCAGGTTGCTGGCGTAAAGGATTTTGAAAATACGTGCCTCAGTGTCAGAGAAGACCTACAAGACAACATGACCTCGGATCCATTAAATGTCAGTTTATAAACCTTTTCATCTATAATATTATGTTTGCAGATGCAAACTACAACACCACGTCCGAAAGTTTGTCCGGATCAATGGAGAATGTTCCAGAGAGGGTCTATCCAATGGTGTCTCTCTGTAAGACTTTCTTTCTGATTTCCATCTTTTTTAAAGTACTAGGAATGATCTCCAGGTCGTCATTGGACAAAACTATTCCTTTTTCAATTATACTGCTGCAGTTGATACATGTCTTAAACTAAATAGCACATTATCTGGACCAAATGGAGTTGAGGAACGAGATTTTGTTAGGGGTATGGGGGAAAGTTGAAGACGTGGAAGACCAATAATGATAGTTTCAGATATGTCAAGCCAGGTTATTAAGAATAGTAAAATGGCAAGAGTCTGGATTGATGGAACACGGAAAGCAGAGTGTAGTGGTAGCAATTGGAAGCAAATCCCAGAGTGTTCGGGAACCAATGTCTCTATCATCCTAAACCTGTAATAGAAGGGCTTCCTAACTATTAGCTTTGAGCCAGTTTTTCTGGGTTTCTATTAAATTGTTTACCATAATATCAAAGGTTTTTTGTCAGTTCACACATTTCTGATATATTGCATAGGAATTGAGATAATTGGGCTCAAGTGTGGAGGCACTTCTATTACAGGTTTAGCGGCAAAATCCCTAGGTTGTCTATTTTTAAAAATTAATTTCAGGCGTTCCAATTCACTGATCTCACACTTCAAAACTTCACAGGATACACTTGGAACCGTGGAGAACCAAATGGAGATCCAGTGCCTCCTGGAAATTATATTCAAAATTGCATTCATATGCTCATTACCCCCCAGGTGTCACATACTGCTTATGGAACTTTAGATGATATTGAGTTACGCCAATAGTCACAAACTTCATAATTTGAATGTGTTTCTTTCAGCTGCAATTATGCAAACTGGGCTTTTGCAGTTCTATGTGGACAAATGGCGACTTGAATTAGAAGTACTTCTATGGACCGTGATTTTCAGATTTCCTCGTCGGCACACTTTTAATCTTGAGACGCTAACACTACTATCTCTCCTGGATTCCTGGCTACATCATATCTAATCATAATTTTTTCACTGTAACTCATTCCCCCTTTCCCTCTCTCGTCGGCAAGATCAAATATCCCCCCCCCCCTTGTTTTTGTTTTCTTTCCAGAACCGTCTTTACGTCTTCTTGTTTCATAAACCTATCTCTACACCTCGTTTCCTGTATAGTTAACCGACCCTCTTTGGCGGTAAATAAACAACAAACGGGACCGTATCGCTGGCAGACAAGTATGAGTTGCATTTTCTGTTTTCCGATGACGGGAATCTCACTCACCGTGGTTTTCAGAAACCGTCTTCAGATATGTTTCTCATAACATACCGAACTCCTTTGTCGGTACGGTAAACAAGAGAGACCGCGTTGTGCCTGAAATGGCCCCGCCTACCGGTTAGCTATGCATATTATCGAGACAGTCATTCTATCTTCGAGACATTCATTCTGTCCTTCGTTTTCCACCGTTTGTTTTTATTCTGCTCTATTAGAATTCTATGCATCCTAGGTTTCGTTCTCTCTTGCGAGTGGGTACTGTAGCGCTTCGACTTCAGGAAAAGCTTCCCTATCCTTTTACTGCTGCGCACTATCAAAAACTACAAACGTTAGCCTGACAGCCATAATCAGATCTCGAAGTTTTTTTTGAACTTACTCCTGATAACCTTTTCTGACTTCAATTTTTCAAAATCAACCTAAAACACTCACCGTAAAATACAAAAAGATTGTCTTATTTTTGAATGTCCCCCCTAATAGGAGGTTCCGAGAGGTGTTAGGTAAAATAGGGTGGTCCTAGTACTAGATAGACCCCTGAAGTTTAGTTATTGAGAAGTTTCGAACATCCCTTCTGTAGTTTTCCATTCCTTACTTATAGCAGTCACAATGATGATGTAGGGGTAACGGTCTATCTGAAACAAGGTATCCACGCCCCATTCTGAGATAAGAACCCATCTAGATCATCTAATTCGCGCAAGCCACACATTTTCCATACCAAGGATATGCGGGACAGTTTTTTTTCGGAATTTTAAAATCCTAAATTTTTAAAATCCAAGAATTTTCGGAACGAAGTTTCGATTGAAAAGATATCGGAGCAATCGAACTGATTTTGAATTTCAGAAATTTCCGATGCTGAAGTTTGAAACTTTGATGAATCCGTTTTGTAGTTTTCTTTCTGCCAGTGCTGCTAATCATGATAGTACATTTCATGATTTTTTTTTTGGTCTATTCCTTAACGTCGTCGTGAGAGTCACCTATTTCCATACCAGGGATATGCGGGAAATTTTTTACGGAATATTATCCAAATCCTAAGTTTTCATAACCCAAAATGTTTCGCAATTCAACCTGGATGGAAAAAATAATGGAGCAATCAGACTGATTAAATTTAAAGGAAATTCCGATTATGAAGTTTCAAATCTTCGCTCAATACTCCCTACCACTTCTAGTCAGCCTATGTTTTCTTCTATTCTCGAAAATTCCGAAATTCTCATGGTCCAATACTACACGGTTCCTTTTCTTTCTAAGAGTCCTATTTCTGAAATTTTGGTAGCGACTCTTCCGGTACCGTCTTCACATGCCTTTTCTCACAGTATGCCGAGATCCTTTGTCGGTACGGTAGAAAAGAGGGACCGCCCGACTGTAAAGGCTCCGCCCATCGGTTAGCTACATATGTGCTAGCTATGGTTATTCGTTGAGAGTCATTCATTCATTCAGTTTTCGACTCTTCCGTTTGCTTTTTTTGCAGTAAGATTCGATTATATTTTTCGTGTCATCCAACTGTAACATACTGTAATTTCCTTCCTTCTTTCCGGGGCATCCTACTGTAGCTTATTGCCATCCTTCTGTAGCATACTGCCTTACTACTGTAGCTTTCTGTTTTCTATAGCATACTATCTTCCAATTATAGCATACGGTCATCCTACTGTAGCATATTTTAATCCTACTTTACCTTACTGTCATCCTGCTTTCCATACTGTAGCTTTCATGCATCATACATTATAAAATTTATTGTTCTTCCTGGCTACCACTCTTTTTCTCAGAGCTTCAATTTAATAGACTTTTCTTATCATACTTTATCATCTAACAGCATTCCTATCGGATTCTCAACTAGTGGTATATATTTTTCCAGGATTTATAGGCGCATACTCTTTCTAATTTTTGTAGAATCCAAAAAAAATTCAAATTTCCTCATCGCATCGAGAATCAGTCGTAAATTATAAGTCCACCAACCGTAAACGCATAGTTAGTGCCTCTCGGACCCAGAAAACCCTCCAGGAAGATTCCAGACTCCTTCACCTCATATTGTTTTGATCTACCCCTTTTGTCGGCATTCTTGATTAAGAGAATAACGCGGAAGACCATAAAAGTCCTTCTTTCTCTTACCCAAAATATTAAATCCTAATTTTCCTCGCTGTGCTCAATCTTACTGTGCTCTGTTTCACACACAATCTCCTCTTTTTTTCAGATCCTTCATCTCATCAGCAAAATGCAATCTCCAATTATCAACACTCCAAAGCGTGAGTCTCCAATTATCAACACTCCAAAGCGTGGCTCTCCAAATGGAAAGACTCGTCTTCTGGCTTTCCTTCGTGATCTCCTCGACGACGTCAATCAGGATGTTGCTGTCTGGACCGACAAACCAAACTCGATCTTCAAATTGGTCAAGCCTCATCGTGTTGCCATTATGTGGGGAGCCGAAACTGGCAACCCTAGTATGACCTATGACAAGATGTCCAGAGGTCTTCGTTATTTCTATCAGAATGGAACATTGAGAAAGGTAGAGGAGGCTTCGAACTGTACCAAATCTGAATTTTGAATTTTCAGATCCCTGGAAAAGACTCTCGTTATCAATTCGTCGACACAAAAGCCCCTGCGTTCAATATCTCCAATCTTCTCGTCCCAAAGAAGGAAGACGGCAACAACAGGTAAGTCTAGGACACGAATGGGGGTTTTGGGGGGTTGAGAAGCTTTTACAGATTCTTCGAGCGCCACGTAGCCTGCTGAAGCATGCCGAGCACATCTTCGCCAAGCTGAACAGAGGAGACATCAGTCATCTACACCAACATCATTCGGATTTGGTTCTTCGTACTAACCATCTCTAATCCTTCCTTTTTCAGCCTCTCATCATCACCAACGTCGTCTTCATCTGGATCTGATTCAACATCTCCACCACAACTTCGGCTTCCACTCATCAACCCACTTGCACTTCAAGAATCACTCAGACAAAACTTGGCGCAGTTCAACACATTCATGACACAGTTCCCGTTCCTTCACAACCTTCCAGTTCAGGACCAACTCACAATCTTCTTCTCCTCCAAGAACACTTTCCCAATGTTGTTCCCAGCACCATGATTTCACCCATATCATTTGATCAGCTCTACTTTATCAACTTGTCATTTCTAATGCACTTCATTCGTCTAGTCATTCTTCTAGTCCTTCTAAGGCATCCTTTCTATAGGCCCGCCCTTCTAATCACTTCATTCTTCTTATCTTTCACTTCTAGTCCTTATTTCATGTCCTTCTCTTTTTCCTAGCGCTTTCCTGTGTTCATTTTCGTTACGGTAGTTTTGCTTTGTTAATTAGAATAGAGAAAACTATGTAGGACGTGATGAGCTAAAAATGACTCGAACCTAGTCAAGGAGAAACCAAGGAGCACTGGCACTTTGGAAATTCTCTATATAATACTCTGATCTTACAAAACTACTCAAAACTTAAATTTAAAACAGGTTCTGATCTACAAAACTCTCCTACCATAATGACTTTCTTCATCTCTAGATTTTTCTGCGCCCGTTTCAGTATAATTGCCTGTGACTGTCCTAAATTTCCTGTTCCTCTTCTCTTTTTATTGCTTGAAATATTTTTTAAGGTTTTTTTTAACGCACCCGTTTTAGTTTAATTGCCTGTGACTTTCTGAAATTTTCTGTTTCTCTCTTCCATGACTTTTTGACATATTATCCCTCTTTTAATATAAATCTTTATTGCTTGAAATATTTCTATGATACATGTTTGAAGGATACAGATTCTGATCTATGAACGTCGAAGACATTTTCTGTTGAACGTATAGGTTGCAAATACCCAGACTGATAAAAATGCGTATATCTTTAGACACAATTATCTTGGAAAGCACGAAAATTATTAGAAATATAGTTTTACGTTTGACTCAAAGCTATTGGAATTTTCAAAGCGACTCCTCAAGTCTAGGTATAGTTATGATTGTCCAAATGTGAACGGCGTAATCTTGCATGTTGTTTTAGTTTTCATACGATCGGCTGTCGGCGCCAATACTTGCACAAGTCTCCGAGTACATTATTCTATGTATTAGTAAAGGCTTGTGGGAGACTTGTGGTAGGCTTGTCCTGGACTTGTGGGAGGTTTGGCCAAATCTTGTG